GCAGTGGGCCTTGCCCGCCCTGACCCAGCCACCGCTGCTGGCGCTCTGCGCCTGGCTGTGCAGGGCCCCGCGGCTGTCGGGGGAAGGGCGCTGCTGGCCGGCGCCGCAGGGATGCGGGCAGGACGGCGCTGCGGGAGCCGGGTGCGCAGCGCCTGATGGCAGCTATAAGGGACGCCGTGCACCCCTTACAGCTGCCATCAGGCGCCCCCATTGGTTGGCACCCCAGGCAGCTGCCTGGCTTGCCCAGCCCATAGTCTGGCCCTGACAACACTGGTGACCCCGACCGCTGATCTGGTAAGAAGGCGAACGATCCTGTTTATCTGTTTGCAATCTAACATCTAAAATGGCAGAAAATCACGAGTTAGGGAACTCCCATCTACATTCCCTGACAACCTCGGTAGGTTCCGATGAACTATGGACCCGTTGGATTGCTAAAAAAGGAGGCCATAGGAGTTTAAAAAAGAGTATGAAGAAACACGGACCGGTATATGTACAGCCACAGCAGAAACTGAAGCGCTGAAGACTAGTAATAGCAGTAAAAGGCCTGGGATTTTGCAACTTATGCCTATGGCAGTGAGATGGTTTAACCAGCATGCTGCACTGCTGGCCTCCCAGGTTATAGAGCTAACCAGGGCACAGGCAACAGAACCTTGGCAGGGCCAGGCTCTGCTGGCAGGGCAACAGGCCGTCCGAACACATGATCTGCTTGAGCAGGGAAAGCAGGAGAAGGAGAGATTGGAACAAGCTCTAGAAAACCTGCAAAAGGAGACGTGCCATCCCTGGCCGCGAAACAGCAGCTTTTAGACACTGTGGTGCCTGAAGCTATGGGCCAGAAATGGAAACAGGTAGCACTGGCTACATTGAAAGATGGATCATGGGGCAGTTGGAATGGATGTTGTACTGGGGACGTGGAATGACCCAGGATCATTCTCCGCTGGTCCATGGGTGAGGGCTTCTGAGGAGAAGCAGGATTTGGAAAAACCTCTGCCAGAACCTAGAACAGTCCCTGTAAAGGTGGGGAGCACAGCAGAGGAAGAGGAGGAAGAATCGGAGGAAATGTCCCCTGTAAATAAGACGTTGAGGGAAGCAGAGGATGCCACTCAAAAGATGGAGGAAGCTCTGAAACATCCATGGTCAGAAATGGAAAAAGAAAGAAGGGGAAATATAGACCCTAAATCCACGGAGAATAAATCAGGTACATCTGGAGCCAGTGCATTAACAGCCAGGCTCAACCCTTTCGAAAGCAATGAGCTGACGGCCTTAGCAGGCGCTGTCGGTTCCCCCCATCTCAGAACTTTACCGAATTTCTGGCGTGGTTGCATAAATGTTCACAGTTATTGAAAGCAGGACCCATTGCTAGTGCAGACACTGTTGGGACACTGAATTCGCTTGCTGCCCGTTTTGATGATGGTGTTGCACTAATGATTAGGCGGGTAGCTCAAAAGCATTTTAAATGGTCTGGACCTATAGCTACCCTGAAAGGCTTTGCCAGGCTGCCAGGAGAGGCTCCAGCCCGAATCCAAAGCTTCCTTAGGGCAAGGACTGGGGAAGAGAAGCATTGAAAGGAGTCGTGTGGGATCCATTACGCCAGGTGCAGTGGGGTGGACGAATGCCTGGTGTGAGGACGGAGGCAGACACGTACCATGGAGTGAGTGGACTGAACAGGTGGGAACAGCGTGAAGCGTAATGAGGGTACCCCAGTGCGTGAACGGCGCACGCAGTTAGGATGGTGGAAAACTGAGGGACCAGGATACTCTCCCCGTGGCCGTGGCCGGGGTTGGAGAGGTAGAGGAATACAAAAAGGTAGACAGAGCGAATGGGTGCCGGCTGGAGTACTGAAGCAGGAGAATGAGGGGCTGAAAGGAGAGATTGAAAAGTTACAAGCCAGACCCCAGGCCACTGGGGGCTGCAGACCCTCCCCTCCAGAAACGCAGCAGGAGCCAGGCTGGGTGGATGCTAGAACTGAGCTGGCGAGGGGGGAGTGGCCCGTGCCCACTTCCTCTGCGGCCCTGATGCTGTGTGCTCTGCCTCTCTGCTGCTCCAGGCTCGCCCTGCCTTGTGCTGGGACGGGAGCTGAGCACGCGGCATGTTCCCGGGACGGGAGGTGTCTGCTCCCCCAGGGCAGGCCCCAACACGCCGTCCCGTGAAAAGCATCGCTGCTGACTCTCCCGCCTAGGGGCACAAGCCTGCTGCCAGCCAGCAGGAACCCAGGCCTTGGCAGGAGTGTGCAAGCAGCTGTGGGGCCCAGAGTCTCACATTAGGGACTGTGGGCTCCAGGTGCCGATGGCACCATCCCCGGCCAGTGTGCTCAGGCTGAAGCTCCCGGCTCCCCAGGCTGGCCGTGCCCTCTCCCCAGAATTAGCCCTCGGGCTCGTCTTCACTTTCCGCGTGTCCCGGTGTGTACAGCGCCCAGCACGGCCACATCCTGGGCCGGCACGAATCTCATTCCTATGAGGGCCACCTGCTGCCATCTTCCCTTTGCTGCGCTCCTGGCTGCCCGCGCTCCCCGGGGACCTCACGCCTCTTGCTGCGAAAAGCTCTGAGAACGGAAACGCGTTGCACCAAATCCACTTTGAAAAATGATTATTTGCACAGGGGCTGGGACCGCTCCAAGGTCCGCACTCCCCCGCCCTGGCCTATTTGCACAAGCAGCTGTTGTGAGCTCTCCCGTGCCTGGCCACAGGGGACCCGTGTTTGCGGAGGAAGCTCACAAGGGAGTCAGGAGGCTTCTGTTTGTCTAGGAGCTGCAGCTTTGCATCCTGCAGGCCGGGCTGGTGTCTCGTGTCTGCCCTGGGGCCCTGGCACCACACGGCTCAACCGAGGTTCCACGGAGCTTTGTGGGGCCTGTTCATTGCTGTGTAATTCCACTGGCCTCTGTGCAGGGCTCCTGGCCCTGTGTCTGTAGGAAAGGCCCAGTCCTGCACCTGGGGACAGATGGTTTGTCATTGGCCGTCCTGCGCGGTGCCAGGGTTACATTTACAGCAGCTCCCACGCTGTGCTGGGTGCTTTGCAGATGGGAACAATGGATCCCTGCAGCTGGGAATGGGGGATCTCTGCAGGCGGGAATGGGGGATTCCTGCAGGCGGGAGTGGGGGATTCCTGCAGATGGGAAAATGGGGGATCCCTGCAGCTGGGAATGAGGGATCTCTGCAAAGGGAAATGGGGGATCCCTGTAGGCAAGAATGGGGGATTCCTGCAGGCGGGAATGGGGGATCCCTGCAGCTGGGAATGAGGGATCTCTGCAAAGGGAAATGGGGGATCCCTGTAGGCAAGAATGGGGGATTCCTGCAGGCGGGAATGGGGGATCCCTGCAGGCGGGAATGGGGGATCTCTGCAGAGGGAAATGGGGGATCCCTGCAGGCGGGAATGGGGGATCTCTGCAGAGGGAAATGGGGGATCCCTGCAGGCGGGAATGGGGGATCCCTGGCAGGCGGGAACAGGGGATCCCTGCAGAGGGGAACGGGGGATCCCTACAGACAGAAAAGTGGATCCTTGCAGCTGCGAATGGGGGACCCCTGCAGATGGAACCGTGGATCCCTGTGGACAGGAAAGGTGGAGCCCTGCAGAAGTGAACAGGGGATCCCTGCCCCCGTGTGAAGACAGGCAGCTGGAGCTCAGGAAAACAAAGCAGCACAACAGCAATATGTAGAGTCAAGTCAGTGAGATTTCTGCAGGCAGCAAGCATGGCAGAAAGGTTCCCACGCAGCCAGCCCCAGAGGCCTGGCAGAAGAGCCCCAGCGGCAAGGCCAGGCAAGGAGAGGATGGTTGTGTAAGAGACTGACAAGATCAGGCACAGAGATAAGCTGCAATAATAATGTGCAATGTTTCTATAATAGCCTGGAGCTGACCCGGGGACAGCCACCCTGCAGACAGGATCAGCAGCCATGTGGCTCCCCGGCCAGCAGGGGGAGCCCACGCAGGGCCTCAGGCAGGGGAGCGATTTGCTCACACCAAGGGCTGGGAGGGGTGGCTGCTGGGCATGGCTGGCAGAGCAGAGACCAGCCTGGAGGGCCCGGAAGAAGGGAGCAGAGAAGCAGGTTGTATCCAGTTGCACAACACAAGGGTCTTTTCCCAGCACGTTTGACGCTCGCTGGTGCCGTCGCTGCTGACAGGCCTGGCTGCATGTGATTTGACACGGCTGGAGACGTGAGTTACATGCTGCTGGCACAGCATGTAGGGTCAGTAACAGCCATCAGGGGATCCCCCTCCCCCCTGAACCCATCCCATCCACAGCCCCACCATCTCCCGCCGGCTCAGACAATGCAAAGTGCCTGGCCCGTGTCCAGTGGTGGGAACTGTCCCCTCTGGGCCATGGCACAGGTAGAAGGAGTGACAGAGTTGGGGGGGTTGATCCAATGACCCCCCTTCCTCCAGGGCTGCAGTTCCCCAGGACACCCCAAACACAGACCTCAGCAGAATGTGAGCCGAGCGATGTCTCTACCGATCCATGCAGAGTTCCTGCACTTCCAATTCCCGACCAGAGGACACGGCTGGGGGAGCTGACAGAGGGCAGGGGGCCCCCGTTTCTCTGGCCATGGCATGCCACCTCTACTCCTGCGCCACTTCAGCCTGGCGGCCCTGCCTTCGAAGCTGGGCCAGCAGCCACCCAGCTCCAGGGCCCAGGAGACCTCACAGGCATTTGTTTGTATTTCCACAGTCTGCCTGGATGGAGATTGGAGGAGCAAAGCCGAGGTCGTGTCGGGCGCCTGGGACTTGGCACCGCTCCCCAAACACACAAGGCCCCCACCCACTGAGCCATTTGCCTGGGCCCGACAGGGCTAGGGGTAGCAAGCAGGGCAGTTGTCCAGGGCCCCATGGGCAGCGGGGCCCCCTGAAGTTACATTGCTCAGTCTTGGGCTTCAGCCCCTGGTGGTGGGGCTGACACTTCAGCTTCTGCCCTGGGCCCCAGGCTCAGACAGGGATCTGACTCCTGCCAGGCCCCTCGCTGCACAGGGCTAACAACGGCCCTCGGCCCAACAATATCATCATCAAAGCTGTGGTTAGATCCAGGCCCCGCAGGCTCACCCCCCCACATTTTCTGCTTGGCCACATGCTGAGGTCTGCCCCCGGCAGGATTTCCACGGGCTTCAGTGGGTTTGCCATTGGTCTCTTCCTGCTTAAAACGCATGGCGGGGCAGGCAGGCAAGCAAAACTCCAGCCAGGAGCCCCTTTCCCAGGCTACGCCCGGGACGCACCCTCCACAGTGGGGCCCGATGCCTTCTGAGCGGGCAGTTCATTATGCCGGGCAGTTCAAACGCGTGTTGCATGTTTTCCAGCCCCTCCCCCCCCAAAGCTCTCGCCTGCCAGGGCCACGCTTGTGTGGGTCAGCCAAGATAGCTAACGGCAGAGTGAGCAGCAGGGAGCGTTCTGGGGGGACAAGGCGCCCTTCCCAGAATGCATCCTCCTGCCCTGCCTGCGGCAAAGGAAGAGTGAGGTTAGCAGTGTTTGCAGCTACTCCCATCCCCCGTCTCGCCCTCTCCGCACGCACTGCGCTGTATCAAGGGCATGGCATTGGTGGGCCCCGGCGCTGGCCAGCATCAAGGGCCTTGCAAGGTTGTTTCCATTACACTTTGGATGAGCAAGTGATGCCTGGAGCAGGGACAGCCCTGGTGGAATGGCGTCTGTGGCCACAGGAAGTCCATACGGTCAGTTTCCCTAACGCAGGCAGTTTCTTTGCCCAGAAATCTCCCGGTCTCACCCTCCCGCGAGCCCTGTGCCCAAGAAGCCCTCTGCTTCCTCCCCAGGTGGCACGCACAGCCGCTTCTCCTGGCTTTCAGCGTCTAGTGCACAGCCTGCAACCCCATCAGCCCTTAGTGCCGGGGCGGCTGCCACCAAAGCCAGCACTTCCCTTCACCAGAATAGTAGCGATGAGGCACATGAAATCGATGTGAAATGGGCCTTTCCCCTTTGGCACCTGCTTTGGGGAACAGGGGTCACTGGAGCTACTGTGATGCTTTAACGAAAGCCCAGGGACTCAGCTGCAGAGAGCTGCCAGGCGTGGCCAGAGGCAGTGAGAGTCTGGCCCTGGCCAGGGGAGCTGGGCGGCCCTTTTCCCTCTGGTGGCTGGGCCAGGGTGGGTGAGCGGCTGCGGAGATGGGCAGGACTGCTCCGGTGTCTCTCCCTTCGCGGGAGAGCGCTGGTACTAAACCAGCTGGTCCTGTCCATGCTCAGGCACCGGCTCAACACCCTGCGCCCGGCCCCGGAGGCCCTGGCCAAGCTCCAGAGGGCAGCTTTGGAGTTCTTTTGGCCAGGACTGCACTGGGTCTCTGCAGGGGTCTTGTCCCTCCCCCTGGAGGAGGGGGGCCAGGGCCTGGTCTGCGTGCGCAGCCAGGTCCGGACCTTCCGCCTCCAGGCCCTGCAGAGACTCCTCTTCAGTGCAGGTAGTCCGGCATGGGGCACCTTGGCGCGCGCTTTCCTCCACCACCTCCGAGGGCTCCGATACGACCGGCAGCTCTTTTTTATCCACCCGAGGGGCCTTCCGCGAGACCTCTCAGAGCTGCCGGAATTCTACCAGGACCTCCTCCAGACCTGGAAGCCGTTTTTGGTGACCAGGTCTGTTGTGGCCTCCAAGGGAGCAGACCTCCTCGCGGAGCCCCTGCTCCCAATCCAGCCTTGTGTGTGCAGGTAGCGGAGTCTCCCTCGGTGCGCCGGAGGCTGATCCATGGGCAACGGCGAACGAAATGCCTGGTGGGCCACACACAGACCCCTGGTGGGCCCAGGCTGCGTTACATCAATCCCCCTTCTCTATAAGAGGTAAGGTCTCGCCTCCTGCAGGAACCAGTGAGCACGCTTGGCTGATTCTGGGATGCAACAAGCCAGCCTGGTTGGTCATGATGCGCCCTGCTTCTAATCTATGAAGTAGGAAGAAGCCGGCAGGTGGCGCTGCAGCGCAGCGAGATGGGCTGCTCCGAGGCGCAAGGCCAGAAGCCGCGCCGCTGGTGTAGTGGTATCATGCAAGATTCCCATTCTTGCGACCCGGGTTCGATTCCCGGGCGGCGCACGGGTGTTTTTTTCCCCTTCTCTCCAAAGCCCTGGGCGCCTAGAATCCCGCGCGCTGGCTGCACCCCAGGGCCCCCCTTTAACCTGCGCCCCTCTCAGCCCCCGTTTATTCACCTGCTCCCGGCCCCCGCCCCCTGTTCCTCCAGCAGGGGGTGCGAGGGGG